AGAGAGAGCGATGCCGTACAACGTCGTTCCGTTCGAAAGGATTAAGAACGAAGGCATATCTGCCGGTTCTCTCCATATCGATGATCGCGAGGATTTGTCCTGTCGAGAGTTGGCACTCGGAACGCGTCGTGCCATGCCACGAAGGAATAGCCCGAGCAATGAAAATTCAATGACGCGAGCAATTTGAGCTCGCGGCGAGCTCGCAAGCTGCAATCTGAAAGTATAAACGATAGTTGTGTGCGCGCACACGCAGGCTTTCTCTCTTTCTCTCCCTTTCTTCCACTTCTCTCATCTCCGTTGTATTCGCTCGGTGTTTCTTGCTCTCTCCATCTCTTTTCCCTCGTTGCTCTCGTGCTACCACAGAGAGCTCGCATATACCGTATGGTCGCTCGGTGGTTGGCTCGCACAGAATAATCGCGTAATTTGCGTGTAACGATGCAATTTGTAGTTATGGCGACCCGGCTCTTTTTCCGTCTTTCTTTTTTTCCTCTCTTCGTTCTTCGTTTTTTGCTAATACCGACGACAACGACATCGGCAACGACAGGACTAACGGCAGCGACAACGACGTCGAGCATCAAGGAGCTTAAGCTTTAAAGACGAAAAGGGCTTGTAGATTTAGTACGAGCATGAATCGTCTTTGATCTCTCTTTGAGCTTATTTTCTCATTTAACGTCGAAGAGAAGCCGGAGCCGCGATCGTTAGTTTAGGAGTTGCGATAATAACTTTAATCTTCATTACGATCATAATTTTGCGTATTATATATTAAAATGAAAAATAGGTACTTTGTACTCTGTATAAGTACAGGGATTAAAAGATTTTTAAATATAATTAATATGAACTTAATCGCATACATCAAGATATATATGTAGGAAAGAGTTGCCGAATGAATATCGGTCGCTTAAATCCTAAATCATACTTTATCAATACTTGATATTATTGTAATTATTATTAACGTACGTTGAAAATTGGCTTGAATGTATTAAATAATTAATCTTTTTTTCGACAATTATTATAATTGAATATTAAATAATTATTAAGAAGTGCATGAAATATTTATGTTTCATCAAAATCTCTTGTGTCCATTTCCATCAACGTAGATTAGCTTTAATCTCGGTTCAACTTACTCTTTTCCTAATTCTAAAGATTAGAAAAAGACAAAGAGTAAGTTGAACCGAGATTAAAGTTAATCTACGTTGATAGAAATTGGCATTAATCTGTTTTACTAGATTTGTAAAAGCGATCATCTGGTCTCGATGTCATGCGCCGAAAGACGCATTCGATGATTCATTCTTTATAGTTCACGGCGAAGGCTTGTGCTTTTCTTCCACGCGATTATTCGTGTTACCAATATACACCGCGTCCTCTATTCCGACGACGACGTGACGGATATCTCTGCAGAAAAGATTCTTGCGCACGAGAGAGAATGAGAGTATTAGTAGACTCTCGCGATTGACTTACGGACCACAGCGGGCAAAATCACCTCTTTATCTCGATTCGAAAGTTCGTGCACAGCGGGCGTTCTGTTACGATATAAATTGCTGACTTAGCTACGCTAACTATTTATCTATATACACGTCGTGCTATCGTTCGTAACAGTCGACTTTGCTACACCTAAAGCTCGATCCTCCAGCAAACTGTACATATAATCCTTACGAAGCACGCGCGTTCTCTTACGTCGTTGAAGTTCCTATCCGCGCCGTTTCCATCGTCATTTATTGCAATAATTTCGCGTGAATCTGTGATAGAGAAATCGCACATCTAATTATTAATTAATTGCGCATCTCATCGGAATTCAAGAAAAGAATTTAAATCGTATATCAGGAATTATATCAAGTATATACCTATTATGGGCACATCGGAATATTTTAATGAACTTAATATCCGATAATTAACTGACATAAATATTTATTTATCCGATACTTTATATCGTGAAATTTTCTCTTAAATACAAGATTCCTATGTAACTTTGAAGTATATTTTTCGTAGCTATCATACAATACATCTTTATTAAGGATAAACCTGTTAATGTAAACACCTTCCTTCTATAGATACCTTCGATTTCGTTTCGCCGATGTTTGCACGCAGGTGCGAGCGCGCATTCTATCCGGCGGGGTCCGTTTTAATTAAAATCAACCGCATGGCCCCGATCACCTTTTAACCCTTGGCGCTCGCTGGCCGGCGCTGGTCTTGCTCACGTGCGTGTCCCACGTGCCTTTACGACGCGGAATTATTGCTCGCCTCGCTGTTTATTAAATTGAATTGTGTCGCACCGCGTCGTCACTCCGTAGCAGTGGCTCTTTATCGGACTCCTTTCTCTCCTGCCGCTCCATTACCACCAGCAATTAACTAACCGCTCATTAGGAAGCCGCGTGCACCATTCACGCACCAATCAAAGTACGGCCGATCTGTCAGCTTGCCAGGATTATTATATTGCGGTGCGTTTCTCTTCACTGTCTGCAATTTTCCGCGAACAAAAAGATGATATCCCGGTATACGGAAGAAGTAAAATGATGAATAAATGTTTAAAAAAGATAAAATAGGAAATGTTATATTACATTAAAAAAGAATAAATTGTTAAATAGTAAAAAAAAATCAATCTTATTGTTAGATAAAATCTCTGCAGCCAAAATTCTATCCCTTAATCTTAAATTTAACGAAGAGTTGTTAAAAAATAGATCAGATAAATATATATATTTAAATTATCCTAATACTTGGCTGACATCTAATTAATTGCATATTTTGAATTTGTAAACAACATTAAACTATTTAATTTGAGAAATGTGGACATTAAATCAATGCTTTCTTAACAATAATATGTGGGAAGCATGATTTTGTTGAAGTATTTAAAAATTTATGTAAGTACAGGTTTGGAAGTATAATTTTGTTGATCCATTAAAATAAATTACGTGGGAATCTCAAGCACGAAGAGCATCCTATTTTGTTTATAATTATTTTGATAAATAAAATTATTTTCAATATTATCTTAAAGAGTGTCAAATTTAATAAAAAGTCGTTAAAGAATAGATTATGTAAATATGCACATTTAAATCATTGAAATGCTCGACCAAATCAATTAGACTGACATCTAATTGATTGCATATACTACGAACTTAAACAACATTAAACTATTTAATTTGAGAGATAGATTTCAAATCAATTCTTTCTTAATAATAATTCACTATAAGTATCTAACTAAATTTTTAGATATTTTAGCAGAACCTCCTTTTTGTGTTTTAAGAAAATCTTAGTGAATTTTGCAATTGTGCATTTCGCGAAATTCTCGAGATCATCGATTGTATCAACTCCAGAGTGATATCCGGATATAAATCCGGAGTAATGTGGCGAAAACTCGCGGATCGCCTGTATCGCAGGGTAATGCGGCGAACCAGACAGAGAGAGAAAGAGAGAGACAGAGGGGGAGAGAGAGAGAGAAAGAAAGAAAGAGAGAGAGAGGGGAGAAGAGAGAGAGAGAGAGAGAGAGAGAGAGAGAGAGAGCTGGAGTACTCGATCTCAGCGGGACGGCTACTAATAGGATTTTCGTGATCAAGTCCGTCGGCACTTTCGACTCGGCTGACTCCTCATTCCTATAAGGAGGCAGCCAAGTATCTGTCTATATCAAGCGTCGCGCGTGTGTGCGGCCACCATTGTGCCAGATCGTGCATCCGCCGTAACTTAGATCCGCGCTCCCTACGTTGACCTCAAGGTGCATCGGTCTCGTTGCAACGTGCATGTTACAGAATTTGCGTAATCACGTATCATCGGTCCAAGCCTCCCCATCGTTCTCCTCTCCTCGTTCCTTCTGCTCGCGCTACGCAATCTTGTCGTTCCACACGTGCACGTTTACGTGGTACGTACGTGCGCCGAGAGATGTATCCAATAAACAAGAGAAACTTACCGTGCCGTTCCATAAGCGTTAGTCCCGTCACGTTTATGGTTGCTCGTACACGCTCTATCAATAAGAATCTGCGTATCCGTCTACGTACTCGGATGGATCTTGATTTCAGCACGTGGTAGCTAATCGCTTATCTTTTATGCGCCGATCATGCACTTTTCAAGTGCCGATCGTGCCTGTCTTTCGTTATTACATGTATTGTATGTTCACGCGTGAATTAACGCGAACATAGGGAAATATATTTTTGCTGTCGACAAATGGTTAATGCTTTTTATGCTAGAAGATTGGTCTCGTGAGATATCTAATCGTACATGACATTAATGGAGAAAGTACGATTAATGTATTAAAATCTAAATTGGCTGTAGAGGAAATAGATTTTTTTGTAATGAGGACATTTCAATAAGAATTCGTTCCACGACAGTGAATAAGAGAACTGTTCATATATATAAATTATCATTAAGAAGTACGATAGTGTCTCGAGTATTAAAATACGGAAGATTAATATTAATATTTCGAAGTGGGTTTAGAATCGTTTAAATATTCGATCGAAATTGAATTTAAATTTAAATATATTTTTCGTTCTTTTTTTCAGGATGCAAGAGTTTTTTCAAGAGGAGCGTGAGGCGAAATCTAACGTATTCGTGTCGAGGGACTAGAAATTGTCCGATCGACCAACACCATAGAAACCAGTGCCAGTTTTGCCGCTTGAAAAAGTGCCTGAAGATGGGCATGCGCCGGGAAGGTATGCACTGTACTGAACCCTTTCTACGAATTTATTAGCGATTGATCTCCACTGGTGATTACATCGAGATCGCCGAAATGTCTTGACGGCAATACTCGAGAAGTTTCTCAAAGAAAAATATTACAAGTTTCAACTTTTTTTTTAATTTCAGAAATATATTAATCAAATTGTTTGTTCAATAAAATGTTCTAATACGATATTTTTATTTTATGTTTTGATGTATATTCAAAATAAATTTTTGTTGTTTTTATCGAAATCAAAATCTGGCATAATAAAATTACATTAAATATTAAAATAAAAATGTTAAACATATAGAAAAAATATTAAAGACAAAATATGGAATATAGAAAATTAGGCGCTTGCGATATTTTTTTCTTGAGATCTTCTGTAGCGCGCTTTTTGCAATAAAAACACTAAAAGTCATGGCCAGACGATGTTTCTCTGATATATGGAATGAATCTTGAATGGATGTTGAAAATAGCGCAACCTTTTGTACTTATACACGCGTTAAGGTCAAAGTGCATGATGACGAAAATATCTCTTTATTTGTACTGTTTTCTGGAAATAAACGTATGTTTCGTGATTCAATTTAAAGCAAGTATTATTAAAGGAAAATTTATATTAAATTCGATTTTGTTTTACAGCTTATTCAAGGAACGATGTCTTTTATGACTATTATCCTATTATTAGGAAACTTTATTTGATTGTAATATTCGGAGAAACATCGTCGACAAAGTATCGATCCAATGATACATTAGCGACTCGCTGTGATCACCCGTTAAACTCTCCGTCACACGGTCCGCATATCAAACTCCCATTTCTGATTCTTGATATTATGATCGAGCTGTGGAATTTCTGAATTACATATATTACATATAATAATGCGCAACACAATTTAAATATTTGAATTACATATTATTACATATTATACACTTACTTTAGGCGATAATTACAAGTAAAGATATCTTCAAGTCTGATTCAGAGGAATTTTCGCAATTGCGATATAATTTTAATATTTAATTCAATATTATATTACCTTAAATATTATATTAAAATTATAATACTATAATTTTAATATTTAATTTAATAATATATTATGCATATATTATGTTATTATGTTATGTTATTATCTATATATACAGGATCATTTCTATATAAATATACGGTCAATTACTGCTGTTTACTTTTGATTATATACGAATATTAGATATTGGCGATTATTAGAGCTCCAAATTAGCTTGGTGATTTTGAATATGTATATACGTGTTTTATTTCGGAAATGTCTACACCTGGAGGACGTCATGTTTTGGAAACGTGGCTTTCGGCGCGCTTCGCCGCTGCAGGAACTTTTAATTGCAGCCTGTGGAAAGGCCGGAAAGGTTCCCACGCCTTATCCCCGCCCGTGATTCCACGTTCCTACGCTCTTAAACTTGGCTACTCGCGCCGCGCGCGATAACATCTGACCTTGTTCCGCCGCGCGCACGAGGAGAAGAGGAACCCGCTCACTCGCTGGTCATCGGCTCTCTCTCGGCCTGCCCAGGTGTACGACCACTTCCGTCCGAGACGTGGCCGTCCGTCTGCCCTGGAGCGTGCTCGCGCCGCGCCGCGATCGTAAACCCGGTAAATCACGCGTTTTTACGCGTATCAGCCGCACGCGTCGACTTGCATGGATATCGAAACGGGAAACGCAAACAGAAATCGACGATTCTGTGACGCCAAGAAAAAATATACGAGACATAGCGAGATTACAAGCAAGAAGTTCAATTGATTTCTTAGCTTTCCAACTCTGATATATTAATCGAAGCCTCACCATTCCGTGCACTTTTAGAGTAAAGTCATTAGAATAGCATATTACATTAACAGTTATATAGAACCACTAATGGTACCATTTTGATTCTACAAATAAATTTTTTTTTTTAATTTATATATTAGATACGCAGTACAAAATATTATGCAGTTCGAATATAATATGAATAATTCTGACGAGACAAATAATATTAAAATAACTTGTCGCTGACCGAAAACAAAGATAGGAAATTATCAAATTGACACCTTCGGCATTTCTAATGGGATATCATCAGTGATTCTGGTGTTAACAGTAATAAAAAGACAAAAGGTTGTTAAAATAATACAGGAAATATATATTATTTCGCATATTTATTTCGAATGCTGCTGTCATTTAAATTTTGCTTCGCATTATGCTCTCAAGATCATAGATCTATTTAATGATCGCAAGGCTTCATATTTCGAAATTACTTTACTTTTACTTTGCGAATACAGATTTAAAAATTTCACACTGACTCTAGGGTATCCCTAGAATTAAAATCTTGCTAATGTGATGTCTATACGAAAGGCAAGCGCTTGCTTCATTTTTAAAACCGTAATTCTTTAAGTTCGCTTAAATAATTTCTCACTAATATTTTTCATTACAAACTATCGAAGATCTTGAGACCGTAACAACTGTCCTTCATTTCGATCTGGCCTCTTTCATACACGAGTCGCAGAAAGCGCATGACTTCCTAAAGGCACATTCTCGAACATCGTGAGGCACGTTGTACTTCACGAAAGAGAAGCTCGCGCATGATTATTCGCACGAGAGCAGGCAACTCCTCCATCCGCGGCACAGTTTTTCCCACAGGAACGTAGGCATCAGAAGCGCAGAAAAGACGTCGCATTTTCTGTCCTGTCAAAACGACATCCGCTTATTATCCGCGATGATGCCCCAGTCTTTGATAATAATTCGAGTCGTTCGCGAGCACGGGGCACGTAACTCTGTGTACACTCACCTGGTCTCTGCCATATACGTTCGCACGAAAGATTCACGAGAAGGAAAGAGGGAAAGGAAAAGAGTAGAGAAAGAGGACGAAAGAAGCAGAAGCAGAAGAAGAAGAAGAAGAAGAAGAAGAAGAAGAAGAAGAAGACGAAGAAGAAGAGGGCGAAGAAAAGAAAAGTGCATGAAGGGCCAAGGGCCGCGGAGGGAAAGGATGACGAGGGCAAGGGGGGGTTACCGGTACCACCGGCAGCAGCGGCAGCAGCAACGGCAACAGCAACAGCAGCAACGGGAGGAGGCAGAAGAGGCGAGAGGTCGTGGATGATGGAGGGGAGAGGGTTGAAGGCGCGCGAGGAGAGAAGGAACGAGGAGGAGTGAAGGTGGCGGAGCAACGAGAGGAGGGGCGGGAAAGAGGGAGGAAGACTAGAGAGAAAGAGAGCGAGAGAGAGAGAGAGAGAGAGAGAGAGAGAGAGAGAGAGAGAGAAGGGAGGGAAGAAACGATGGTCCGAGGTCAGCGGGGTGCATGACCTTACCTCGGGGCCCCTTCCTTCCGTGGGGCCCTCGAGGCAGACAGGATGCGCTGAAGATTACCCCGTAGATACTGTCCGCGATGATTACAGAAATCTAGGAAGCCGCTCAATTTAATTAACCCTTAATTGCGAGCGCTTGGGACGGGATGGTGCGTTTACTCCAGTACCTTGGCGCTTTTCCCCCGTCCCTTGTCTATTCGAGGACGATGATGATGATGATGATGATGATGATGATGATGATGATGGTGGTGGTGGTGGTGGTGATGGTGGTGGTGGTGGTGATGGTGGTGGCGGAGGTTGTTCCCCGTGTGTACGAACGCGCGACGATGCGTGAGTTATCGCTTCGCGAAACGAAGTGCACTTTCTTTCAAAGATGAATGTTGGACGGAAGGAACGTAGACTATGTAGTACAGTTGCGTTGCGGATCCTCTCTGGGGATTGTTAGACCATTAAATCTAATATCATAATTTCTGGGATAGAAGAGGACTTTTCTAAATATTATTAAACACGTATATACAATTACATTTAAGAGTCATTATCTTATTATGCATATATAAATTTGAAATTTGATGTTTACGAACAATGTTTTATTTGTACGAGAAACGTAGACTTATCCATTTATTAAAAAAATAATGATTAACTTTTCGGCTCCACTCTTATTGTAACGTACCCGAAATTTTTTTTACTTTTTGCATCATAAAGTAATAATTATTTATTAATAAAGATACATACATTTGCTACTGTTGTCATTATATTCTTCTAGTATGAATCAATCGCAGGTAACTCGAAAGAAATTCATAAAAAAAGAAAAAATATTAAAATATAAAATGTTCTAATATTTTTTTCTAAATTTCCATTACATACAATAGGCTTTAATTTTTTTCCCGTAAAGTTAATAAGAGTAGTTTCCTATACATCTAAATTATTCTACGTATTTTATCTATTTTATTTTGATGACGGTCAGGATTTTGTAGAAATCATCTTTATTACACAAAAAAAAAGCGTCTTATTAGTCAATTCTTTCCGCTTCGTGAACACGGAATTGGAGATCAGCTTTATCGCGTTGAACGCTCTTCAGTTGGTCGCGTAACTATCGAGTGTGCCCATCGCGATACACCGATAGCGATTCGCGACTAGAAGGCCCCGTTACGTACTTAATACGCTCGTTAAAACGAGGAACTTAGAAACGCATTCGTTCGCAGACGTGCACGTTTCTTCCATACCCTCGCAATAAATCTGCACTGTTTATTTTACAACCCGCAGCCGTTACTTCGCGCCTGCTTCGGTATCTTTGCCCAAAGAAAAAAAAGGAGAAAAAATTACAGTACGCAATATCCTGTGCGTCAAAATAACTACATCTGTCTAATTTATGCGTGCTAAGATAATTGATTCATTCAGAAATAGATACGCTTCTATTTCATATGCTGATAATACTGAAAGAATCGTAGCGTTGAACGTACGAAAAATGATATTCTCGACATTTCTCTTTTTCTGTCTGTAAAGATTTTAATAGATTCAATTTTATAACCATAATAAGATTAGAGAAAAATATTAACTTTAATATCTTCCTTGATTTATCCTTTTCTTATGTTCTCCGATTTACACTTTTTTCGTAACGTTATCTCAAAAATTCTCAAAGATTGCTTAGTATATCTGTTTGATACATTTTCGAAAAATATGCTCTTGATTGTTATTTAGTA